AAGGATTATTGTTGTTCACCTTATTATAAAACCAGCAGCATTTTTTCTGTTCTATTTTCATATACAGAAGCAGCTGTGGTACTGGCAGTGTATATCTCAACTACCATTTACCCCTTTCCAGAATTGTTTTTTTCTTACCTGGAGCATGCTCAGGGGAAAGAAAAAATTTAGATGAATGATATCATTTGACTATATACTCGTTTATTGATAGAGCTGCTTTTAGATTGTGAAACAGCAATGGAGGGAAGAAGTGGACATCAGAAAAAATATATTGACGAAGGCCATCTGAAGGGTGCATATTACTGTGAAGTTGAATAATTATACGATAGTTATTCTTCTAATAATCTATCTAACCTATAGTATCAATAATCAATAACATGACCCTGAAAGCAAATGGTGTCACTTAAAGTTCTACAACAAAGTTTAGAGTGCATTGTCAGTGAAACAAAAGACGCAACTCAATTTCTGAATGAAAAATTGAAAATGCTTCAAGACAACATCAATCCAGAGTTATATGCCTTTAACGTAATGGTTGATCCATTATGTAAAGAATGAAGCGTCAGAGAAGCTCAAGATGTGTTGATACTAGAGACGGTCAGAAGCCTGATGTTGTCTTGTTAAAATTGGAAGGGAGAAACTTTGAAGACTTTTATGCCAAATTCATCAAGAATTAAAGATTCAGAAAGCGTAGCCAAATTCATAGAAGAGAAATCCTTAATCTTCTTTAACGATGGAGTATTAGAAAAGAAACTATGCATGATACTTAAGGACCATGATATCGTTTATAATAGTCAAGTGTCCGTTCATGAGCAGTGATATCATTTGAATCTTATACTAAAGAGTTGTGATTATTAAGTTTATTTTATTTTAATTTGACTCATTATAAAAATAAAAATAAGAGTTATAATATCTCTATATAATATTATAAGATTAATTTAATAAGAATAAAATTTTATAAATAACATATAATCCATAGTTAATAATATATGTAAAAAAATCATTCTTTAATGTATAGAAACTTTATAAGTAGAGATGTCAAAATGACATGGTGATGATTTGATAATTGGACAAGATGAGTGTAGCTCTTTTTGTTGATACTTATATCATCAAAATCGGTGTAGTTTGCAAGTTTAAAAAGGTTAAATGATGTCACAGCACTCTTCAAGTAAATGCATCAAAGACATTTTGTTCCTAATATTATGACAAGCAATTTTCTTTTTGATGGCTTGTATGAATATGAGAACCTTATTACGAGATGTATGATCGCGATCAAACCCCTAGTGTATTGAGCTTCAATATATTGTTTGATGCTTTTTGCAAGAATAGACAACTTGACAACTAAGTTGCATTATTTCTAAGCCTTGAAATTTGTCATCTTGTTTTCTCATAAAAGGTACTTCTAGATGCCCTATTTATAGTCGCAAAAAAGAGTTGATGACTCTGTAAATAGGAGGGCTCGTTTGATGCAATTACGCCCTTTTTTTAGAAATGAGCATGATTTACAGGTGGATTCTTAAGTCTTTCCATTCACTTTCATGAGCAAGAGTTTTAACAAATTAATATTTTTCAATAAATAAATATAATTTATTGTCAATCACTAATTTCATATTAAATAAATTGTTAAGATTTAATGGTTTTCAAGTAAATATTTTGAGTAATATCAAGTTCATGAAGAGTAAATAGATAAATTGCCGCTCCTTCTCCTCCTTCCCTTTTCCTTCCAACCTCCACACATCTCCTCTTCTTTCATCTTTCTTCTCCTCACAACTTCCATTCCCAACCAATTTATTATCAAAATAAGCAAAGTAAAATAATTATTATTTATTACTTATATCTATGATTTGACTCACTCAAACATGATAAAAGTACTTATAATTGCCTTGATCGGAACTCCATTTGAATTGGGTAAAACTCATATTTATTAGGTTTTTTTAGGATAAGTTGAAGTTTTGTGATAAGCGAGTTAACTCAGGTTAAATAACAGGCGAGTCAGGCATGAATGAGAGACTGATTTAAAAAATAGTGTTTTTTCATATCACTACTTTCTACATCAATTGTTTTAAAGAATCTACGTAGAAAGTGTTATTTTCTACATCTATTACTTAAAGAAACTGATATAAAGTGAAAAATTGTACTATTTAAAGTCATAAATTTTGAAGAGACATAACTTTTAGCATATAATTTTGATTCATGTAAATTATATATTTATTTTATTTAATTTTTCGAGATCTATTCATTTAGCTCTGAAAGGGGTTTGGACAATTTTTTTTTCCTAAAATTTTAATGCTTTCTAAAATTTTATATTTTTTAATGTTTTTTTATTTTTTGTAAAACAGGTTCCGCCAATGGTATGAATAAAAATTTATAGTCATGGGACAAAATAAAAAATGACTTAGTAAATTTATATCGTATGAAAGGAAATGAAAAATGCAGAAAAATATGAATTATCAATATAATTTTTGTTAGATTTAATTTTAACCATTGGTTTCTATTTTACATTTTTAAACATCCGATCTCAATAACAATTCACAATATTTGCAAGTATTTTTTTAAAAGACATTTTTATTTTACTTTTCTAAATTTATGGAAAACGTATGAGGCAGTTTTAAGCCATAGAAATGATGAATATGTATAGTAATCCTAATAATATATTAGACTTAAGATGGAAGTAATATCTTCCTTTAGCCAGATATTATGTGAGAGTGTGTGTTTTAAATTAGATTACTGCTAAAACAAGTATTTCTGCAATTAACCAATTTAGTGTGTTAGAAAAGCATGCTACTGTATAAATGTTCTCTTTGCTTTGGATATTCGAAGCTTCTTTTCTTTTTCGGTAAGGGAAGTTATTTTTAAAAAGATAAACTCCTCACTGCTATTTTCTAATTAGAACTTAAAATTTCATCTTAAAAATTTATACAGTAAAAGTCAGCATTGATAACAGATTTAAAAACACTGTTTCTTATTAATGAACAGCATAAAAATTACTTGAAAAAGGTGGTGATTGCATTTACAGTTTTCGTATGTAATTTCATACCATCAAGCATTTCCGTTTAAATTTTGTTGTTTTTCAACATGTTGAAAAACTGTTTTTTATGCTAAACCTTATTCTACAACTGGCATGAAGTTTTACTATTTAGAGTATATTTATTTCACATGTACACGATTCATGTTTACTAATTTTTATTTTGATTTCACATTCACACAATTCACCTTTACTAATTGTCATTTATGCTTTGAAATCATGTTTACAAATTTTTTCACGTGTTTTTAAATACACAGTTATGCTATTAAAAATTGATGCCTTATGTGATATTGTTTATAATTATTTTTATTTTTACTTATTTTTTTAAACTAAATTAGCAATTTAGCTCTTTAACTTTCAATTATTTTTATTTTAATTTGATCTTCTAACTTTTTTAAAATTTTATTTTGACCCTCTAACTTGCAACATAATTTCAATTTATTTATTTTTGTCAAAATGTTATCTTCATAATGGTCATCTTATTTCTTTGAACAAATTTTCTCTTTTTAATACTCATCTTATTATATATCTTCATTTTTTTTTTCTTTCCTTGTCTTCCTTCTCTTGCTTTCTTTTCTTCGTTTTACCCTGCGTCAACACTTTCATGACATGTTTCTCCCAATTTAAACTCCAACAAACACGTAGCACATTCTTACAGGTTTTTGGCATGATATTGAAGTTATAAGAAAAGACAGGGAGCAAGACAACGACTACAGTGTCAAGACCGTAAGAAATGGAAGCGCCAGGGTTGTTAGTGTGGTCATAGAACACAAGATGAAAGTAACCACGATGGCAATTACAACAAACACATAAGATAGAAATGAATCCCTTCATAATTTTATTCTGAATTATTCTTTTAATTTTTTTATGTTCTTTTATTCTTCTTCACTTTCACTTCAAAATAGAAAGTTAAGTGAATTAAAAATGCAAGGAGAAGATTCATGGTTAAGTATAAAAATATTCAACAAATTATTGTTTTAAAATACACCAATTATAGTCAAAAGAGTGTTAATAAAGAATCAACTTATTCTTAATTGCATGTATATTACTAAAATAGTTGGTTGGAATTGAAAAAATTGTTTTTCTGTTGTAACAAACACAATTTATGCAGAAATTAAGAAACAGAGAATTGATTGCTTATGCATTATTATTTTTCTAAATAAATAACATAACATGTAATAAAATAATTATATATATATATATAATTTTTAATTAAATTTTATATATACATCATTATATAACATATATTTGACTATAAAACAAAAAAAAAATAGAAAAAAGATTTAAGAAATTTAATTTTTAGAATAACAAACTATGAATAAATTTAAATGACTTTTTCTTAAATATAAACAGGAAAGAAAATAAGGAAGAAAAGAATATGGTACAAGCGAGTTTACAATAACAACAAAAAAAAGAAGAAAACAACAATTTTAAACAAAGTTGATATTTTTAAAGAAAAATAATTTATTTAAAATATTTTTAAAAGTTGAAAGATTAAAATAAAATTAATATAACATATTTTTAATGTTTTCTACGTAAATATCTCAAAAATATATCTCATCTAAAATACTCTCTGGTCACACATTTGGTAGTTCAAGAGAAATACTCTTATATCTTTCTGCCATCGATATATGAAAGCCAAGACCTCTTCTTTCCGGTTATAGTTTTATCTTAAGATTTTGGATAAGTTATTTAAATAAAATTTGTGTTGAGGTGCCAAAAAATTGTTTGAAACGTTTATTGAGCGCTATGTAGTAAATGTTATTTTCTGCTGTCTTAGTTTAATCTAGCTTTAATCTACTTTTGTAAGCAACTGCAACTTTGCTGAACAGTTGTTTTTTATTTGTTTTGCTTCCAATTAGGCAGCAAATTCATAGATATCTAGAATATTAAATATCTCAAAACATATAGAGATTGAGTCAAAATTTCGTGTGTCTAATATGGAGATCCACGTAAAACTCCAAGGTAGAAAAGTGATTGTCTTTGGACAGGATAAATTTTAGAAGAAAGACATTCCTTGAATTTGCAATAGGCAATAGGAATTCAATGACAAGTTATATCCAAAGCTTGGAAATAATTAGCGTTTCATATTTCTCCATCCCATAATTCTTCAAGACTTTTGTAAGGACTACAAGTTTCGTGGACTGCAGGATCACCTCGAAGTAACCTTTGCTGCATCAGACAACAAACAAACGAAATAACTAACAAGAAAAAAAATTGTTGGGCATAAATGACATGAGAATAAATAACGTGTGTTTTCAAAGGCATTCAAACCTGGTGAATCTCTGATAGTTTCAAGAAGAGTTCCTGAGGGATGCACCAATTGAACAAACTAAGATTCTCCTTGATCCTAGATTCATTTACACTTTTTGGAAGGACACTATGACCACTTTGGAGTCCCCAGCGCAGAGCCACTTGTGCTGGAGACTTGTCAAGTTTTTCAGCAATTTCAATCAACACAGGTTCCTTCAAGATTTCACCTTTTATCCATGACCCAGGAGAGCCCAAAGGAGAATATGCCTGCAAGGAAGCATTTATCGGTTGTTAACAAAACACAAGCAAAAGAACCAAAAGACATTGTTTAGATCAGTCAGAGTAATACTTACTGACAAATGAACACCAGTGGACTTGCACAAATTGTGAAGAGCAGGTTGCTGCCACACAGGGTGGCATTCAACTTGGTTAACTGCTGGTGGAATCTTAGCATATCTAAGCAAGTCTTGCAGCTTCTTTGTTGAAAAGTTGCTCACTCCTATTGCACGTGCCTGACCTGAGGCAAACAAACCTTCCATTGCATTCCATGTCTCTGGAAGACATAAGGGAGCCATGACCTCAGGGTCCCAACCTCGCGAACCCGGCTTTGTCCTAAAAGGCCAATGCATCTGTAACAAAGTCATTTACTATCAAATTTCATAGAACCACCTTCAGTTTCAGCTTCACTGCTGAGACAGGTTGAAAATCAAGAACCATACAAGATACAAATCAATGTACTCCAGCTGCAGGTCCTCTAGAGTCCTAGTTAGTGCCTTTGAGACATCTTCAGGAGCAGAGTCACTGGTCCTGTATGGTTACGAATTTCAAGGCAACAAGAGGCAATTCATTATTACTCTATGGTAGAAATACACAATTCCAAAATGGGCTTTTAGGCTTATCTTCCATTCTTTCCTTCATTCTCATATTTTCATCAAAATCAAATAATAAATGAAATTATAATTAGTGCTCTCAAGTACATCAAAAGCAAGGTGAATCATCTTTGAGGATATGAATTAGTCCAAACACATACCATAACTTTGATGTGATGAACATTTCACTACGCTGCACTACCCCATTTGAAAACAGTGTTTTCAGTGCCTCCCCTACCTGCATTGTTAAATACAAACTTCCTACCATCATCAAGAAAGCCAGAATATTAGCAGAAACAAAACATTATATGCAAATTCTCAGTTTATTGGATTTTGGATTAGGAAACAACATTTACCTCTTTTTCATTATCATATACCCGAGCACAATCTATATGCCTGTAACCAGCCTGCACATAGCATTGTGACAATTTCAACTAAAGAAAAAATTAACTCATGAAGCTCACATTCTATCTCAAAAGAAATTGAGAAACAAAGACACAAAATCCAAAAAAAAAGCACCTTGACTGCAGCAATAACAGCATCACCCACTACACCTGGAGGGGCTTTCCATGTTCCAAGACCAACTGATGGAATCTTTGCACCAGTATTCAGATCAAAATGTAGAGGCCCACCTGTATTTTCTTTATCCATGTCCTCCTGCTGCATATGACACAAAGCAACATATAGAAAACAACACTAATCAAAAGAAATAAGACTAAAAATGATTAAACTTTGATATAGAAAAAACAAACATAAACAGATTTTAAATCCAAAGGCAGTAATACAATACCTCTCGAATCTGCTAAAAAATAATTTATTTATTTATTGTCATTACATATCCCCAATGTTCAGGGAAGAGTAACTGTATATTGAACGAAACAAAAAAATTGTGTACGGTATGTGGCATGGACCAAATATTTAGGCAAAAAAGTTGGATCATTGGATGACTCTTCTAACATGAACTTCGGAGCAATCAATGAATTGAAAGCAATGGTTGAAGGAAGTTGATCCTTACCCAAGTCACCGTTCTTTTGGCAGCGGAGCTTCCCGTGATTGCGCTTCAAACAAAGCAAAATAACATAATTAAATATATTAAATACGTGTATTGGTGTAAAATTTGGACATTTCTGACTATTTTTATAAAATCTATATTAACTGTTACATAATTTAGATATTTATAAATATGTTATTAAAAATTTAATTTTTTTATATTTTATAATAAATTCTGTTAAGATAAAATATCTTGATGAAATATTTATTAATATTTTATTATATAAAAATTTATTAAGTGGTGTAAATATTTAAATTTAGTATATTAAATTTATTAATATATATATATATATATATATATATATATATATATATTGCTAATATGTGTTCTTATATTTTAATGGTCGCCACTTTTTATATGAAATTTAAAATAATTTTTAATTTAGTCAAAAAAGTAGTTTAAAAATTGAAGCGATTTTGATAGAGAGAAGTTAATTAGAAGGATGAAATTGTAAAATAAAATGGTGAATTTGTTGATAGAAAAGAAAAAGAAAGAAAAATTAATTGATGGAAGTAAGAGTCTAAAATAAATACAAGATGCATCATATATTTATTAGTAAAAAGATATTATTTCTTATATATTTTTATTGTGTATCATTAAACAAAATTAAAAAAATTGAATTGTTAAACAACATAAAAAGTAATTTTTAAAATAGTTATATATTTTTTAGGGTGTAAAGAAAATATGGAAAACTATTATTTATGTCAAATAAGAAAGTGAAAATGTTCTATTTTTTTATGACGTATTGGCATTTTTAAAAAAAAAAATTGCCAAATCATTATTAACTTTGAAATTTATTGGTTTTTACATTTTATATTTGACAAACTTAGAATTTCTTTTTAGCTTCTGTTTAAAAGTCTATAAAAGAATAAAAGACATTATTTTAGTTAAATGTAAATATAAAGATTAAATTAACAACAAAAAATTTATAGAGATTAAAAATATATATATATATATTTTTACAAGAGTCTTAATAGTCGGTATCTTTAAAATATTAATTAAAAATATTATAAATGGAATTTTTTTTAATTAAAAATGCATTCAGAAACATAAAAGCGTCTATATCATTATATTTTTTAATAAAAAAATTCTACTTTTAATTTCTTAGCTAATACTCTAAAAAAAAAATTATAGACATATTTTTTTAGAGTATGTTTAGGAAGAAGTTTTTAGAGGAGAAAGTAAGAGAGGACATATTTTTTATTTTTAAATTAAAAAATTATATATTATTTATAATGACATATACATCATTAATACATTAAGCTTTTATTAATATATTAACTTATATTTTTTATTTTTTAAAATATTAATTTTAAATATATTTATTTAAAATATAAATTTTGCCCTCTCCTCCCATTCCCTCAAAAACTTCCCTTCCCAAACAACCTCTTAAACAAAAAAAAAATAAATCCCTCCCATTTCCTTGAGCCCTATCCTAAGAAAAATACTCATAAAAATCTCTTACGATAATACTAACAGGACATTTTTTTTAACGCAATCTTTTAAATACTCTAAAAAATATTAGCAAAAATTGTAATCTTTACTTCGGGGCACCAATATCAGTTGTCTATGATTTGGTCTACCTTATTCCATCTCACAAATCGCAATAAGCTACGCATATTTTATGTACAACTTTTCGGGACAACATTCGCTTTAGTTTTGAAATGATGTACAGATCTTACTTAGAAGTTGAAGTGCGTCCAGCACCATGACTTTTACTTAGCCTTTCAATAATTGGAATGTGTATTTGAATACATGTTACAAAACATGTCACTATGAATTCAATGCAAAAGTTATGATTAATGGCATTTAAAAAATAAACATAAATTTATGATCATTCAAGCGTTAATCCAAACATGCACTATGGCAATTCTAATTCTTTATACCTTTTTAGACTGTCTAGCCTTGTAACATACAATGCAGTACAGATGAATTACGGGCACGTGTCAAAGGTAAATAGCAGCAAACACTTTTAACTTGCACCTCAACAATGAAACTTAAATAATGGTTTAACCACACTAGAGACTATTGATTGAAGGGTGAAGTTGAATTACAAATGACAGTCTAAATAATCCTTTAACAGATAAAGTTTTTAAAAATTATTATCTACTCCAGTAATTCTCATCATGATACACAGGAAGGGACATGCTTGTACACCAAAAATAGGGGACTTTGTCAACGTTTCACAATCTTAAGAGAAGAAATCTTTTAAATTCATTTCTCAATGAAGTTCTTCAGGTTCTTCAGCCACATTAAATATTCCTTGTTGTCTTTACTAAACATGTATTCCTGCAAAAAGTTGGTTGTGCTGGGCTTGATCCCCCGGATCTCAAGATACTTGTGAAAAGCCTTTTGCAGATTTTCATCCAAATCACTGCAAAAAAAAATGGAGAAAACATGTTCAGCAAGTGTAAGAGAATCATTATATGAAAAAATTTGAAAATATGATATAGGCATATACAATTAAATGCTTACGTGAACTCAGGTCCCTCATATGCTAGCTGGTCTTCAGATTCTTCGGACTGCTTTATTGACAAGCTATCAATGGAAATCTCATCAGGGAAAGCAGTCACACCAAACTCGAGACACACTCCATTTCCTTTGAAAACACTCACAACTAAAGGAATGCTAGATTCACTATCATTCTTTTCACCCTCATCATCATCCTCGTTTTCTTCAGGAGCTACATTAGGGATGTCAACTTGAACTTTGATAGTTTCATCCTCATATTGTCTCTTTAGTTGTATGGTTCTTTCTCCAGGATTGTCCTCAATCTCAAAAGGAAAATCATCTGGGACTTCGACCTGCAAAAATTATACAAAGTGTCAACAAACTCACACATGACTGAATATGACTATAAATATCAAAGGAAATTCTACAGGATAGAAACAACTAAGGGCATTCCAACAACAAATATGCCCTGATCTCGGCTGCATCTGGAACTGCTATGCTCTACAACTTGAAATACAAGACTGATAACAGACTAATCATAGCATATAAATTACAACCCTAAGGGGAATAAAATGATGTCAGAAAACTATACATTTCTAAAGAGATAAGTAATAGTAGCCAAATATACAAAATGAAAAGAGAAAGGAGGAATAATTAAGGGACTGTGTGGTTTGTGAAAATATTTTCTGCTTTTATTTTCTATTTTCACTTTTAATTACAAAACTTCCACTTTGTTTTCATTTTTTTTCCTGTTTTCTAAAATTTGTACGGGAAACAATGAAAACAGAAAAAAGCTGTTTTCACTGCTTGCTAAAAAATCTTGAAAAATAAGAAATAGAATGAAAATAGGAAACATTTCTTGAAACCATACAGCACCTAATCTTTTAGATTTAGGAAGCTGAGATTAAGAGAGAGAGAGAGAGAGAGCATATCTGGAAATCACAAGAGAAAACCAACTGATTTATAACCTTATGGCCAAATAGGAGTTGCATAAGCACATTACATCTAATAGATAAAAGGTTTCTCAATTCAGACAAGTCATACCATGTTCGGTAGAATTTCATCAACTCAAACCTATGAATAAAGAATCAAAGACAGAGAATACCAGCCAAACTAACTATGAAAGATAGTTTGTAAGAGCTGGACATACACACAGAAATAAGATTATAATTATCAAATAGGCCAATCTCAAACCATTAGTTATGAGAAAGAGCAAAAGTTCACAACGGCTTTGCTAAACCATGATACCCCTCAGAATCTCAGTGATAGGTAACCAAATAAAACCATACACGAGACAAATAAGGACAACAAAGTTCAGAAACCAGCACAATATTGTGTAAAAGGGGCACCATCATGTGCTGTCAACAATTCGGGACAAAATAACACCGAAAAATACCTACGCCCCATTTGAACATTTAGATATTCCACTTCTTTCAAAATGAGCATTCCTAAGCCCAACAACTAATTCAAAATAATAACAACTAATTTCATAACTTCAACTCTTTACTAGAGAAAATCCACCACCACCACCACCACCACCATCATCAACAGCAACAACAAAACCTTGTCACATCAAACGTTATTTTCCCATACCCATAGGAACAGAACCCACAAAGGAGGAAAATTAAGTCGCACACCTACCTTCTAGCTAAAATTCTTACAAAACCCAGAAAAATAAAATAAAACTTTGAAGGAGAAAATATAAAAGGGAAGGGAAAGATACAAACTTAGAAGAAAATCACAGGGTTTAGACAACACTTACAAGAGACCAAAAACAAAAACTAAACGTAAGAGTCTTCAAAAACAGTAATAATAAAACAGAAACAAAAATAAGAATTACATGGTGCTGAGCATGATCCTCATCTTGAGCACAATGGATCTCAGATTGGAGAACTTGAATGAGACTATCATCTGCGCTGGCATTGGTAGCGAAGGCATTTGAGAAGCGGAGAGAGGGTAAAATAGGAATTGTTGTTCCTCTGGGGAGAACCGAGAGTGCACTGTGGACGGTTCTCGAAGATGAAGATGCCATGAATCGGCGCGCCAATTGAGGCAGCGCAGCGGAGGAGGCGCGCCGAAGCATTGCGTAGATGGCCATTTCGATGTGTCGAGCAGAGACAAGGCGCAAAGGGTTTAGTGTTAGGGTTTTTGGATGCTCTGGTTTGGGTTTAAGTTATTTATACAAAGTAAATATATAAATTGTTCCAAAGAGGTGTATGCATCCATCTTAAACCTTTATTTTATTTTCTAAATTTAATAAAATTAATGAAATATAAAATAGAATTATTAAACCCTAGATCATGACAGTAGGAATGACTATATAAACTAACTGCAAAAGATCTGGTTGCCTCCAAAGAGTTATACTCTTTAAAATAAAATAAAAAAACTATGTACAATTTGGTTAGTCATTTTCATTATCTATTTGGTTATAAAAATATTTGTTGCTATAATTTAATTTTGAAACAAATTAATTTTATTTATATTTTTGTAGGAGAAAAAAATTAAAATCTAAGAAAGTTAATATATTAAAATAAAATTTTTTATAGTGAAATAATTAAAGAATACTTGAAATTTGAAAATGATTTGAATGTTTTTTTCTTTTTCTTTTTTTAGATTGTATTGGACAATAGTTCTTCAGATAAGGGAGGTAAACAACATTCTATGTCAACTTATTTTTTGTAGTCCTATGATTGATAGCAAGTGGTGAGATTTGAGAGACATATAATGTAGAATTTCTTTATACATAAAAAATCACAATCTTATTCTTTTTTTACACTCATTGAACTTTGTAAGCTTAAGAATTAAAAATGAAGAGTGGTAAAAAGTTAAAATTAAAATGAAGAGCAAAAAATTTTCAAAAAAGAGCAACAAAAAAAAGAAGAAAAATGGAGAATGATACATTTCAGAGTTTGAGCAAGTAATCAAAAACGCATTTTAGGAATAATAATTTTTCTCATTTCTTTCCTTTGGTACCTCTTTAGTTTACATTTCCTTTATTAATGAACATTGATATTTTTACAATTATTTTACATTTTTATTTTATTATGAGTAGCTAAAACTATATGCTCTAAATTTGTCTCTAATAGTTCTCTAAGTAAAAGTTGTGACGTGTTCTTTTCTTCCTTATTAATATTTAATTTAAATCTTCCATAAATTTTCTTTAATCTATTACAGTTTATTTTAGTTCAAGCAATTACATTACGATATTCTTAATACTTGAAAATAATCCATTAATATACTAATAACTCAATTTAAGAATCCCTTTATTACTTTTAAACTTGTATACTTGCCAACGAACAAGATTTAGACCTTGTTATCAAGGATTATTTGATAATATTGAAAAAAATTCAGTATTTAATTTATTTGAATATTTTTATTACTATTAAGTTCCTTAAGTTTTAAATTTTTAATTTGCATTATATTTTTTATTTATTTCTTTTATTATATGCTCACTCATTTTAAGTCTCTCACAACTTATGTATTTGATCAAGAGATTAAAGAGTGTACACAAACAAAGAAAAAAGTTTAGAGAATAAAGGATGGTAGAGAGAAGAAGAACTCTGCAAGACTACTTTACGCTCATTGTTAAGAATGTTTTTAGAAGTATTGCATCCCCTAATATGGAAGCCAACGACTTCGAGTTGAAGTTGATTTTGATTAGTATGGTCCAAAATTCTATTCAGTTTGAGTTTTACCCAATGAAAACCTCAACTTCCATTTGAAAAAGTTTCTTCGCTTTATAGATATCATAAAGTACAATGTGGTCACCACTAATGCTATCAGACTCCAATTTTTTTTCATTCTCAGTCAGAGAAAAGGTGAATGCATGGCTTTCGATGTTACCAATCAATTCCATCATGACATTATCATATAGTGATGAAGAGATAACCTTGACTGTTTCATAAGCATATTCTCATCCTTCAATGATAGGAATGAAACCAACAATTGTCAATGTTAGACCTGTACGAAAGTCCTATCTGGGTTTGTTCATATAACCTACACATGAACCTCCATTTAGAATGTATAGTCTTTGATGACAAGTGTACCCATCGAAAAGTAATATATGATTCTTAAATTAAACTCCTGAAATTATCTTCCCACGAGGATTATTTTTCAATTACAAAAAATTTCCTAATTCAATTGTTTGAGCTCAAAGGATATAAGATTAATTAAAACAATAATTTAATTATAAAATTAATTGTAAAATTTAGAATAATGAACACAATGCACGTCTTAGTTTAACTTAGAGGAAAAGAATCTACGACATATAGGTTTCTCATTCAATCATTTATGTTATTTTTCTATTTAATTTTAAATTTGATTTCATTATGATTACTAATCATTCATACAAGTACTATCAATACCCAATAATCATGGAATACTAACATTTTTTTCTCTAAGCTAACATCCACAATAGTCATGCAATATATTAATTCAAGAAAGTATAAATAGGGATGGGAATTGTAACACCTTATTTTAAATTTTTAAATAAATAAATTTCACAAAATGGAAGTAATAAAAACTTTTCATTCAATTAGTTCCCAATGCATAGTTCAGCAAAATATTTCAAAAATAAAGATGGATTACAATTTAAATTAATTAATCGTTACAGGACTTAATTGATACATTTCAGTTTCAAAACAAAATAAATATTCTAAGTCCTATAGCAGTGTCATCCATCCCTTCACTGAACCCGGTGCTGATCGTACTGGTCACCTGAAAAATAAACGTAAGAGTGAGTACTCTACACTATCACACACAAGCACAAAGAAATCTTGCATATTCCAAACATTACATAATATAAATCATTCAGCACAATCACACGCACATCAAGCATACATCAGTCATTTGCACGCGTACGCTTACTGTACATGAAAGTAAATCACATCAATTTACACACAGGTGCGCTTACTGCACTTGCAATCAATCCACACACATATGCGCTCACTGCATGTTAGCCACGCTCACTGTAGCACTATTATCACAGTTTCCTGATACCCTCAACCTAAGGGACTTACTTAGTTTCACACCATGGATGGTCGCCAGAAAACCCCCGCCTCACGGATACAATGTGTGCGGTCACGAGTCCTTTACCAGAGGTGTTAGTCAGAGGCCAAGTCAGGAGGAGAGTGTGTGGTCTGTACTGCACCTACGCTCACTGTCAGTGTCACCACCACCCTCTCTTCCCCAATGTATTTCTACTGCCCCCATCTTTCACACTCACAGTGTATCGCTGAACCATTCATAGTTTTCAACATGTCGCAATCACAATCACATTCACGATTCACTGTGCCTTCCGCACACACATTTCATTTATCTAAAATCATTCAATCTCAATCAAAGGCACATACATCCATATTCCACCACACAATATTCAGTCACACAGTCTTTATCACAATTTCTCTACAATCATTTACTATTTATTACACACATTTCTCAATGCCAACAACACTAGGTTCCACACCAGATTTTCACTATACCCTATTGCAATCAAGTTATTTTCATCCAAATGCATAACTTTTTACGTTCTATTTCAATTACAACTCTATAAATAATGATATAAATGGATTTTCAAGCAACATAAGATACGGTAGAGTCCTCCCTTACCTCAAATCGAAGACCCAAACAAGAAATCAACAAAGAATATGCTTCTCACACGAGTTTCATCCTAAATACATAAAAAATTTCATGAGAAATTGAAAAAACAAGAAAGAGGAATGAAAAACTAGAACCTTAACTCTTATAACTTACCTCCAAGCATCCCAAACACAATTTTAACCTTCAATCTAACTCACAAATGGCTTTAGAGGCAGTTTAATCGGTAAAAACAAGTTGAAAATAGAGAGAATCGAAAGAGAGATGAAGAGAAAAGAGTGAGAATGTGTTTTCCAAACCCTAAATTCCTCAAATACCCTTTTGGTCGCGATACTCTTTGCTATAGCGAGATATTCTCTCGCTATAGCAACACCCCCTCTTGTTATAGCAAAAATCTCAAAAGAAACTGTACTTTAGTTTCTGCAGAATCTCACTATAGCAACACCCTCTCGCTATAGCAAGACTGCACTCAGAAATGCACCTCTCTCTATTGCCTTCTCGCTACAGCGAGAATCCTCTCGCTATAACGAGAATGCTTCTGCAATTCACACTTAACCAAATTTTCAATCATTCCAAACACATTAAACCATTAATCCATAACCAATATCTACAATTACACTTATATATATATATATATATATTCATGCCACCATCATACATAAAAATTTGAATGCACATCCAAACAACATTTCCCTAAACTTATATTAATAATCAAACAATATTACAAAATTTGGAGCATTACAACTAGGTCAGACAACCTGACAAGGGCCTGCTTTAGGCATAGGTAGACTAGCCTCCTTAATAATTAAATAAGGTTTAGGCTTTTTGTAAGGCCTATTTAAGTAAATAGGTCAGGCTTGAGCTATTTACAAAGCCTATTAAGCCTAGCAGGCCAGTCTATTTATACACACACACACACACACACACACACATATATATATATATATATATATATATGTATGTATAATATTATTATTATTCAAAAATTAAGATTCAAACCCACTCCTTGCAATTTATCACTGTCACTAGTCTACCATTAATTCATCCATTGTTGAATGGTATCGTATTCATTGAATGTAAAACCTAGCATAGCCACAAACCTTTGTTGCCTCTTAAGTTGAGTTAGAGCTGCTAATGTTGTTCATCTTCTTCCTTGGATCTCGCCGCTACCTATCTCTATTTGCGTTTGTCCTCTGTTCAACAACTCCTCCTCGTTGCTGCCCACTTCCACGTCGTGTATTCAACTTAGATCTTTGCCCTTCACGTTAGTCTAACTCAATTGTCAGTCTTCGTTCTACTGTGTCATCGAAACGTGTTCTGCTCCTCTCCAACTACGTCCATCGTCTCCGTCGCTGCTTCCAACTTGTGTCCTCCTCCATCGCTGTATCTAGCTCTGTTGCTACATCTACCTCCATTGCAGGTCACTTGCTTTAAGCACAATGCTTTGCAAATTTTTATGGTTTGAGGAATGGAAAAATCTCTTAAAATGTGATTATTGATTGTTCATAGTGTATTTTGCTACTAGTTTGCTATTATGAGAAATGACAATATTAATTTTTGATAGTCAATTGTGATT